GTGTGTGTGTGTGTGTGTGTGTGTGTGTGTGTGTGTTCCATTCAGGTAGTAAGATTAATGTACTGACATTACCTAACGTTGGGAGCCTTGTTTGGCTCAGTTAAAATGGATCATGGAAGGAAGATCTTGAAGTCTCTTCTAGCTTTAATATTTTTAAAATGTTGACAATGGTGAGGCATAATTATCAAAACATTTGCTACGTGGGCAAATCTTTCAGGCTAAGAAATCCCTTTGCCTTTATTTATTTATTTTTTTATTTATTTTTATTTTTATTTATTTTTTTCAACGTTTATTTATTTTTGGGAGAGAGACAGAGCATGAATGGGGGAGGGGCAGAGAGAGAGGGAGACACAGAATCGGAAACAGGCTCCAGGCTCTGAGCCATCAGCCCAGAGCCCGACGCGGGGCTCGAACTCACGGACCGCGAGATCGTGATCTGGCTGAAGTCGGACGCTTAACAGACTGCGCCACCCAGGCGCCCCCCTTTGCCTTTAAAAAAGTATTATTTTGATCTATAAATCAGCAACCTTTATAGAATTTCTCAAGGCTTCTCTTTGTGTCTTTCACTTTATTTATGTAGGACATGTTGTCAGGGTCTCAGGGTCTCATATTCCCTCAGCCCTTCTTGGAGGCCATGTGCTGAGCGTTTCTGTACAGGCTTCCCATGCCTCTCTCTGTCAAAGGGAACAAACTTTGCCCATATATAGGGCAAGATAGAAGTTCAGGAGTTGATATGCTTGGAACAACTATCAACCAATGAGGAGTAGGAGGTGGTGAATAAATATCCAAACATTTTCACCCTCAGAAGAACGATTCTACAGTGTCTCTCCCAGAAAGTCTTCACTGGGATTGAGCCCCAGTTACCCACAGTGGTACACCACTCATTAAAAAAGCGTTTTTAAAAAACTTACCTCCCTTCTTCATGTCACTTCTCCACTCTGCCGTGTGAGAGAGCTTCTGGCATCATCTCCCAAATAAAGTACTTGTATCTAAGTCTCTGTCTTAGGTTCTCCTTTTGGCAGAACCCACACTAAGGTAATATATTTATTTGACCTGGAAATCCAACTGAAAATGCACACATGTGAAGGCTCAAGTTGACCGACTTTCTTGAATAATTTGGATTTGTACTACCCTGTGTCACTTTCACAGAACTGCTCCTGCTTGTACATCTTGTACCTGCTTCAGACTGAATTGATCCTTTCTCTGCCTGGAACCTCATTACTGTTTCTTTGATGACACAGTGCTATTCATTTGACCAGTTTGACCAAAGAATCTGAACTCATTGAGTTGTTAACTTCATGGATGATTTTATTTTTTTCAGTAATTGCTAGTGTGTTCTTCCCAGTGGGTAATGGGGACACAACCATAAGTCAGTGTGATTCCAACTGTCTAATCCATTTAAAAAAATCAATCTCATTCGAATTCAAAATAACTCCCTTCTCTTTTGCTTGGGCTAAACTTGTATCAGAGAAAGAGGCAGCAGTAGATAGGAAGTGGCAGAAGACACAGTATGCATTCTTAGTCTCCTTTTCTTTCTTCTAGACCCTTCACGCAAACTATGGGGGTGTCACACTAACACATGGCCCAAATGCATAGGGAGCAGCCAGGAAGGGAGGTTCCAGTAACCCAGCTGGGCGTAGCCAGCCACCTTGGAGATTTTGTTGGAAGAAGGGGAGAGGCTGAATGTCATTTGTGTCAGCCTGAAGACTACAGCCTCTGCTGTTTAGAGTGGTCTTGGTGTAGATGGTATATGCAGATTTTAGAGTAAGGTTCAGCTCCACCCTCAGCCCTTCACCCTGCAGAAAAGTAGCCTCATCTTCCTTTAATTTCCCCCATGGTGCATGCCTCCAATGCACTCTCCAAGGGAGGCATCTCACTACTTGGTTAATGGTTTGATATGTTCCCTGTTCCCTCTCCATTATCTATCATAGACAAAGGGACCTCTTCTTCCATGTTCTGTAATGGCTTCCTGCCTGGGGGAGGAAGCTTCCAACTTTCTCTTCCCTGGCACATAATATACTACATCCTTTCTCATCCTGCTATGTCAGGCTATTTCCTGAGGGTTTCCACCACCTGAAATTTCCAGGTGAGAAACAAGCTCTTTATATACAAGTGTCCCTCTCAACATAACAGGATAAATGTCAATGTCTCTCTGGTCCACCAAAGAAGAAGAGGCACCCAATACTCTCTTTCCAGCTGCCAGAGAGCCACATACCTGCTCTGATCCAGAATAATCTCCTTTTTATGTCTCTGTTGGTAAAAGCCTTCAGATCAGTTCAGCATCTTTGACACAGGAAAAAGGTGTAAGGGTCTTTAGCCATGAGCCTGGCTTTCCTTGCCCATGGCCTTCCAGAATTTAGTAATTTTGTTCTCAGTTGTGGTATCTTTACCACAGTCTTACACCATCTGTAACCTCCGGGGATGGAAATATTTATCTTTGGTTCATGTCATCATGATGTTACATATACATTATACTAACTCATGTACATTCCTCAAGATCATAAAGAAACCATTCTTGGTTACTCAAGAAAACTAATTTGGGAAATCACTGGATGTTCTAATAACACGATGGGAAAAAGGCAAACATTTATTTTTATTTGCAAGTGCAGTTTCTGCCAATAGTTAGTGCTCACAAAACCTTTTAAGCTACAGTAACTTTTGGTAAACTCAATGAATATTTATAAAATACCCAGTGATAAGAAAATTACAGAAAAATTTCCATTACACTGTTGAAAATGTTTGGAATCCAAAATCCACTATTTTCTGCAATGGTTTTTAATATTTGTTCTGGTTAAAAAAAGATTTCTTTCTCTTTCTACTTCTACATAGTCCTGGTTAAATTAATACAATCTGTCCCATGAACTTTTAGGACGGCCATTTTCTGGATTTAGATTTTTATTCATACATATTTATATCAATATTTTAATATTTTACATAAAACATTGCTTTGCTATGTTTTATGAAACAAAATTATAGATCCTATTTATGGTGAGACATTTCCAGTTGGGGGGAAAAACTGAAAATCTAATCTGTAGAGGTCATTTTATGCCTTTCCCCCCCTTTTTTAGCTATAATAAATAATTAGCAACCTATTAATTACAAAAATTCTTAATTATGCCTAGAGCAACCAGAGCATTTTCATACATTTCAAATCCTTTTTGTTACCGTATGTGAAGTCATTAAGAAAAGCCTCTGGTTTTCCAGTTTGGTAACAAATGGCTTTTTTTTTCTGATGCATAATTAATAGAAACTAATGATGACTATGTAGCTCTTCCAGAGTTTTTAAAGGCAAATCTATATTGGCCTACAGTTAACATGCAAATTCATCCAACAAGCAACACAAAATGTATTGTAGTCGTCATTCATTGTTATCAACATTCAAGAAGATCTAGTCAGCAGTACATCTCTCCTATGTCGGAAACACATTATAACATGGTCACAACTGAAGTCAGAGCACACCTGGTAAGATACCCCCTTCCTAATTCATCCTCAACTTCCAGCACAACACATGAACAATAGCAATTAATACTGTGGTACGAAGGTAAATACAGACAAGAGTTTGGTGTGCTAGCATACAGAGTTTTAAAAACAGTGACAAACGAACCCAAACATCTTGCCCTGTTCTCTCTCCTTTCCCTTGGTGAGACTGGAATTCTCACAGTCTTACTTAAAACATTCAATTTGGGAACTGAGTCCAATGATCGCAGCACTGAAATTATTCCCGTGGAGGGAAATTTGGCCACAAGGGGATGCCATACCTATCTGAAAGAGGGCACTCTGGGGACCACCCTGCTGTGCAAATACTGGCTTGTGACTAATAGCCTTGAGGGAAAATTTGATTTTTCCCCATATTTAGCTTTATCCCAAGGAGTAGCATGGTGGCATATTGTGGCTCAAATTTTATTTTATTATTTTTGGTTGGATAAGTGAAATGTGTGCCTCCATCACCATCACTCTTAATTCTTCCTCCATCACGTAAGACACTTGTTAAGATAAGAAAGATATTCTACTAAAGCTGACGGTGATTGAGAGTCATTCAGTATTCAAAGTTCCTAAAGAATCGTTGGTTCTCTGAAAGGGATAAAAAAGTAGGAAAGGCTTTTGTTCAAACTCTTGCTAGTAAACAATTACTTCAACTGATACAATGGCTACGTGACATCAAAGTACTATAAATTATCAAAACTATCGTACAGAAAAATTACAAATTCATTGCAAAATACATTACACTGCTACCATTAAGAAAAAAGTGCTTTTTGTTTTCCTTTCTTTTTTTTTCTTTCTTTTTTTTTTTTTTTTTTTTTTTTTTTTTTTTTTTTTTTTTTTTTTGCCAGAAAAGTATTCTTTCAATATAGAAAATCCTATGCGTTACCCTGCATGTGGCTAGGATATATCGTAACGGAGTTTGTACTGAGTCCTTCTGATTTGCTGGATGAAGGGCTGAAAAATATAATAATGACTTATTAAAGCCTTGTTCCAAATGATCACGCCAGCTGTTGGTGGAGAGATGCCTATTTAAGACACAAGAAGATGCCCTGGTCTGTTGAACCCTGCCTGTCATCACATTGTCCCATCAATCAGCTGGGTAGAGTCCACAAGACTCTTTCGTGTTCCTCATGTTCTCCTGAATTATTCTTATGTCCTCATCTAGCGCTTCCACTGAATCCTTTGCTCAGTGATGTCTGTATTGTCTCATGAGGGGAACGATGCAAGATGGCGGACCTGCCAGTTTCAAGAATGGATGTCCAAGGAGTTCCTGGGCTGTGGCTCTTTGTGAGGGTTCCCTCACCAGCATCAGGTCTAGGAATCCCCGGAGCACTGAAGAAACCTGTGAGAACACAAGATTCCATTCTGAGGACTAACACAGAAATGCAACTAGTTCCCCTACAGTGGTTTCCCAGCCAATTTCCAGTTAAGTCATTCTATCAAACAACATTGAATTCTAGAAAGTCAGCTTAAGAAGACAGAAGTTATGCAAGCAAAAAGTAGGTACTGCCTTTATTAACATAAGATGTTTTTTTACCTTCTTCAGGTTTGAAATAATATGAGCAAATGACATGGCAATAAAGAATGACAATCTGCTGACTAAATCGAATAATAATAGAAATAACAGCATTATGAAGTGCTTACTATTTATAAGGACTGGTCACACACATATGATGAAATGTGGTACAAACATGGAATAGTTTTATTTTTCTAACTGCAACCATCTAGGCTTTGTGGACTCCCCCTTCTTGAAGACAAATAAGCTTCTGTAGGGTTACCTGACACAGATAACATGTTTTTCTGTAATTCATTATAATTCACTTTTTGAAGTATATCTTACATACATTCAAATGTATAAATATGATGTGTATGTTTTACAGTAGTATTTTTCTATATATTTACACCTAATTACTCTCCAGCCCCACCAAAATACAGACCATTTCTACCACTCCAGGGGCTGACCTCCGGCCCCCTTCCTGTTAATACCCATCTCCCTGCAAAGGATTACCACTCTCCTGACTTCTAATAGCATGAATTAACATTGCCTCTTTTGTCCTTTATAGAAATGGAGTCATATACCATCAAGTCTCCTCTTTCACCCTCTTTCACTGGTTTCTTTCACTCAACATTGCATCTGTGGGATTCATCCTGATGTATGTGGTAAAAGCTTTCTCCTTTTCATGAATGCTGTGTAACATTCACTGTTAAATTGTACCACATATTATTTATCCATTTGGAAAACAACCTTGGGCAGTGTCTAATCTTTGACCATTAGGATTAAGGCTGCTCTTCTACATGACATTGAAGAACATCACACCATTCTTTTTGGATGTGGGACTCTTTTGATGTCATGCTATTTTAGCCATTTTTAATTGTGTAAACTTATTCCAATTTGGTCAAGGTTTTAACCTCCTGTTCGTTTCAAACAGTCTCCTGGTTGTTTTTTGCTTGTTTGTTTGTTTTGCAAGTTCACACAACTATAGGGGTGATTCAATTGGGAGCTCTTCTCTAAGACTTCGGTGTGGGGGAAGAGGGTAATACTGCCCTAAAAGGCAGCCTTACTTCCTCTCAGTGCCATGAGGCAGAGGGCAGGGGAGGTGTGTGTCTGGGTCAGTGTTATATCATCTCGTGGGAATGGCCCCTCCCAGCAAGCCCTGTCCCTCCACCCGCACCGGCAGCTACCAGAGTGGTAGTTTTTGTTTTTCTTTATTTTTTTAAAAAAGTTTATTTATTTATTTTGAGAGAGAGAAAATGTAAGTGGTGGAGGAGCAGAGAGTGTAGGGAGAGAAAGAATCCCAAATGATCCCCACTATCAGCTCAGAGTTGAATGCGGGGCTCAAACCCATGAACTGCAAGATCATGACTTGAGCTGAAGTTGGGTGCTTAATCTACTGAGCCACCTAGGCGCCCCAGACTGGTGGTTCTTTGACTCAGCATCATTTTTTTCTGAGCTTGACCCTACCTGGCAATCCTTAGGAAACAGGAAAGATCCTACTTGGTCCCTTAACCATGCCCTTCATGGCCCGTATGATCCAGTCCCTGCCCACCTCTCTGACATGTCTTGTCTTCCTCCTTTCTCTGGCTCACTTTGGTCAGCCACAGAATCTTTCCATTTTGGCATAAGGCCTTTGCACCTGTTGTTCCCTCTGCCTCAGACATTTTTCTCCCAGATCTTTGCATATCTTGCTCTGTCTTGCCATTCATATTCCAGTTCAGTTAATCTGTCCTTAGAAAGGGATTCTTTCACCCTTCAACCTAAACAAGCTCTGAATCCCCTCTCCTGCATACTCCACTGCATTACAGTGTTTTATTTGCTTGATAGCATATACCACTGTCTAAAATGAATTTTGTTCCTTCATTTGTTTATAGTTTACCAGCTGACTCCCCAACTAGAACACAAACTCTATGAGACTCAGGAAATCTGAGGTCTTGAGCTACAATATCCCCAGTAATTAGGACAGTCCCCAGTATGTCACAGGTGCTCCGAGAGGGAATTCTTGTGGAGTGCCTGATTTACTCTTCTAGCCAACCCTACAAAAGAGGAGCCAACTGTATCCCATTTTACAGATAGACTTCAGAGATGGAGAGGCTAAGTACCTAGCCCAGTGAGTGAACAGGAAGAGCAGAGATTTGAATCCAAATGATTCGAATTCCAAAGTTCATGCCCATAAACCAGGATCTACTCCTGGGGAGGATAGGCAAGTCTTTGAAACTACAGAGAGAATGGAGAAGCTAAGAATGACTTTGAACTTCAGCAACACATGCTGTTTCTCACCTTGTGTAGGTCCTTCACTCTTGGAGGTAAACTGTCCCGAATCCTCCGCATTGCCTGGAGGGGGGGCTCATTGAAATAGGGGGGCTCGCCATCAATCATTTCTATCACCATGATTCCGAGGGACCAGATATCCACCTGTTAGGGACAATGCAATGGTTATCTCAGGCCAGGAGAACATTCTGAAATTCTGGATGTGTCTAGGGGACCTAACAGATTCATACCCATTTATAAATTAATGTGGTATTTGTAAACTCTCAAAATTTACAACACAGATTTATAAACTGAACTGTTGAGTTATAAAGTTTTTGCTAATGGTCTTCATTTCTTTCTAAATGTGACTTCAGTGAAGATTCTGTCATTTAGGTACACATGAATATGTTAACATTCTGGACCTCAGGAGTCCAGAACTTTTTTTTTTTTTTTTTTTTTACTGTTAACTTTGGTGTTTACAGGCCTATCAGGACAGATGAGGAAAACACCCAAAGTTTTATACTATGAATGTAGAGAAGAAAGTTGCATTTAAAACCATAAAAAAGGGAAGCTGACATATTCATAACAAACTGCAAAAAGCTACTTTACACAACACGATATATGCTGATCCTTTTATTAATTTGATTTCTAAAAATAGTTCTTCTTTCTCTACTTTGGAGTTATTTCCTTTGCATTTTATCATTTTGAAGCAGCATGCACAACACTCTGCTTTGTACAAACATTTTCAGGGAATGGAGAAAAGAAAAGGAAGGGATGACAAGCAATTCTTTCTGAGTAAAGAATGGGAAGTCAGGACAACGAGAAGCCATCGCTATGCTATAAATTCCCAGTTACAGCCACTTCCCTGTTACAGCCTCATTATACCTCTTATCAGTTAGCTGCATTCCTGTTATAACCCTTGCTGTAATCTTCACTGAGAATTTATGCTCTTGGGACCACAGTGATAAAAACAAGTACTCATTCAAGGGCGAGCAAACAAGGAAAGAGAGCAGAGTCTGCCTTCACTTCTGCCAATATCCTTAGTTCACTGGTCCATGCTGCCTCTTCATGCTTCTCCTCTCTTAGAATCACCTTCTGCACCATAATGTGTGGAAATGTTGTGTGCCTGGCCGGAACGAACTCTTTGCTGCCCTGTGTGTAGACTTGTGTGTCTCAGAGCTTCACTCATGCTACTCCCTCCCTAGAAGGCTTTTCCTCCACTCCTTCTGGCCCCTTATTTTCACATTTCCAAACCCTGTCCCTTAATAGATTAAGAGCAATTGTTTCTTTTCCAAGGGAAACAGAAATTGTGCCATATTTTAAAATGTTATAATATTCATACATAATTTTTTTCTCTGGGAAAACATTTGTTCTCTGTCCCTCTATGACACCTGCTCATCTGTGCATCTCTGGCTACTTTTCAAGTTGTACTGCCTTGCTTTGAGTGTGCCTGCCACAGAGGATGTGATTGGAGTCTGTGTGATCTACCTCCCTCACCCTCAGTGTCTGTTTAGGACCTCAATAAATGCCCCTGGGTCAATGTTGTGGTGATTTTGTCAATGACAGCTAGTCCCCTTCCTGCCACAACCTCCTCTGTGACAAGTCTAGTGAATGGGGTCAAAGGTGGAGTCCAAAGTCATCACCCTGATCTGTGGTCATTAACTCTCCCAGAACCACTGAATCCCTAAGCCTGCTGTCCTGCCACTCCCAAACAATGACTGTCACCCCCTTACCTCTGTCCCATAAGGTAGCCTAGAAATCACCTCAGGTGCCATCCAGTAAGGAGTGCCAACCAGTGATTTCCTCTTCGGCACCTCTTTAGAAACTTGAGCACAGAAACCAAAGTCAGATAGCTTTATCTGAAAAGGAAAGGAATATAACAAGGTAACAATCTAATAATACCAGTTTCCAGATGGAGAAAGAGAATTTCAAATTCAAAACAAAATAGTCTCATGAACAGGCCTTGGAAATATGGGAGGTGGTCAGACCCTTTTGTTGAAAAGGCACGATCCATTTTCATGGAAAAACCTCTCATGGCTCCACCAGGGTTGACTTGCAAATGTGAAACCAGAAAAATTTACAAATTACACTCCAGACAACACATTTGTTAAAATTCAAACACACAACTCTAATACTTAATATACAGATGATGGTTTAGTGTAAGTGAATTGCTATTCTTCACGTGAGTTTTGTACAAACTGCTGGAATTTAGGTTGTTTTGCATTGAACATATTTAGATTTCCAAGTACCATGAGATGATTAAAATCGTCAACCCCATTTCTATATTTGAATTAATGCAAGGCCCCATTTCTATAGAATGCTGAATATTGGCTCTTATTTTTGTTTTCCTTTTTTTCTCATCACAAATTGAATTTGCCAATGTG